CCCCCCACGGCTTAATAAGCATAGCCTTCTTAAGTGCAGCGTACAAATACCATTAATAATTGGTAGGATTGAAAAATGGGAGGTTCCCGTCGGCGTATTTCGAAAACATCGTTTCCAGCTGAATACCGTTTTTATACTGAAAATCTTCCCATGTTATAACAAGTGCCAAAAGCTATCTTTTCCATTTCGCCCGAGGGAGTAACTGAACTGAACTATTTTCCAAACTGTTTTGTACCGTGCGCTGCATGTGTTCAGTTAACTTCAACTAGGCATAAAAAGAAAAGCTCAGTTACTTCTGTTGCGGGTTGTTAATGTTCTAATACCCGATGGTGTGTATTTAGGAATACCTTTCATTATTAGGGATTTGTCTTAAGGTTTTTTAGCATTCATTTTGTTCATTTTCGTTGTAGACAAAATGGCTAGCAACAATACAACARACGGAGACCCAGGAGAATATTTCATGGACGAAGCATCGTATTCCTTGGCGGAGATCGTAGCCTGGTCTTTTGCTTTTGGCCTCGAAGGATTTCTTATTATTTGTGGGAACATTTTAACAATCTCGACATTTGTTGGGACTAAGCGACTTCGTCGACAAAGCACAATACTACTTATTAATCTCGCTACTGCTGATCTTTGTGTTGGTTTGCTATCCATCCCTGTATTCATCTACTACTTTGTTGATTATCTTTACTTTTTTGGAGAAAATGAGGCCTTGGGGATGACTCATAGGATATTAGACGCTGGCACAGCTTATGCCTCGTTATTCTCGCTCGTGTTGGTATCGCTTGAGCGCGTTCGCGTCATCGTGTGGCCGCTGCAACACCGCCTCACAACAAGGCAGTTTGTCTTTGCAACGATCGCTGCAGCGTGGATTCTGGCGTTTATCTTACCTTTCCTTGATTACACGGATACTGGTGTACCTGTATCATTCTATATTGCCGTGCCTATGCTGGCTGTTTCCCTGATCATCATGTGCGCAGCCTACGTGGTCATCTGGGTGCAGGTCCGGTACAAACGACAGAAAAGCCACAGGAAAGAATCATCGGATTTCGAGCGCGCCTTCGCTATAACCTTACTTATTGTGACCGCTACATCTGTCGTCGCTTGGCTACCATTTCAAGCGATCCTGATAATCGAGACCCTTTGCGCGGAAAAATGTGCCCCGGTGTCTGATAACGTCCTTTACACCAGCAAGCTCTTGCATTATGGGAATTCTCTTGTCAACCCTGTTATCTACAGCCTCAGGTTTCCTGAATTCAAGAAAGCAGCTTTTCGTATTCTCAGCGTGAATCGCCATAGTGGTTCAAAGAATAACGATCCAGCACTTATGCCAATGCAAGAGATCGTACCATCACCCAATCAGACGGCTAATAGTTCTATCCGATGGACATGGAARTCACGGAGCTTGCGCGGATCCACGAAAAGTAACGGAAGTCCACGACTACAACTCAAAGAGGAGGAAAAACGAAGAGAGGATTTACAAGATTTAGTGGAGCAGTCATAAAGTTAAATTCTAAGCAAAAATTCGCAGCATAATCAGATTATTACTACTGTCATTAAAAGGTTGTTTGCGGAAGATCGCAGAAAGAGAAAATGTATACTGGAAGGATGAAATCTGAGATCACAGCTAATCACGTAAGAATATCTTGAAAAGAATACCAACCCGGCAGACAGGTAATACAAATGTATTATTTAAAAGAGGTTTCGGCAGAAAAAAATCTAATCCAAGGTTCAGACGTGCTTTAATAATGCGAGATTACATCTTATAATGGAAAGAAAAACAAGTTAAAGTGAATTAGAGCGGAAAGAAAAACTCGAAGCAGCTTCTATTTTTGGAAGGTATGAAAGAACAATGCTATTTTAAGAAGAGAAAGGAGAGAAACAAAGATTTCGGCGCTTGCTATAAAGTGGGGCTCATAGTCGTAAATAGATGGCAAAATCAATCAGGGCGCATCGTAGACACATATAGAAGAGCTAAATACTCAGAAACGTTAACGATTGAGTGTTTAATGATTTGCTGGTAATCATCTTACTTCTATGTCGGTGCGAGATAAATACTGCCAGAYGTAACAGTCGAGGGCATTGAATGGAAAAAATACCTTGTGACAAAAAAAAAAAAAAAAAAAAAAGAAGAAGAAGAAGAAGAAAAATTTCAATCGCTGTTCTGGTGGGATGAAGTTTGGGATGAGTGGGTAAAAATACTTGTAAACTATTGTCTTGTTCTCGAAAGTAATCATCATGAGGAAAGGAAAATAGTATAGCAGGGGATGATGATGATAAAGAGAAGATCAGCGATGATGATAATTACATATGAGAAGAGCAGAAATGATAATGAAGAAGAAGAWGATGATGAAAATCAGGAGACCAGGGGATGATCATGATCATGATGGTGATGATGATGATGATGATATGAAAAGACTAAGAATGATGAAGATGATCAGTAATGAGGAGACCAGAAGAAGAAGATGAGGATAGTGATGGCGATAATATGAGAAGACCAGGAATGATGATGGCGAAGAGGAAGAGACCAGGGGATGATGTTGATGATGATAGCGGTGATGATGATAATGATGAGACCATGGAATGATGATGATGATATGAGAAGACAATGAATGATGATGATGACGATAATGAGGAGACCAGGGGATGATGATGATGATTGTGATAATGATGAGACCATGGAATGATGATGATGATGATGATATGAGAAGACAATGAATGATGATGACGATAATGATGATAGGGGATGATAGGGAATGATAGTGATGATTGTGATGATGGTAACCGGGTGGTGTTGATAAGGATGCTGCTGCTACTGCTGCTGATACGATGATACGATGATGACGATTACTATGATAATGATAAATATAATGAAGATGATTGATAATGAAGACGATGATGATTCATAATAGTGATGATGATAATGATGCTAAAAAATAATAATAATAATAATTCCTTAATGCCTATGATCGCAAAGGTAATGAATATAACAGCAGTATTAATCAYGGTGATAAAAATTTAAAAACTAAAAATTTCTCAGTGATGCTTATTACATCTTTGACGATTTACCATGCTTATAATAAATGTCATACAGACGAATTCGATCAAACTGCTGCAAAAGGACGTTCAACGTCGTCACTTCGACGCACGTTCATATGGTTGAACGCATATATAAATAATTGACAACTCTTCAAACTCCAGTGCATGCAGGCTTAGCCTCGAATCCAGGAATGGCTTGTTTTGTTATTCTAATTTCTGCTTTTGTTTACCGACCTCAGRAGTGAGGCTAAGCCCGCATACAATGGAGTTTTTAAAAGTCGTCAATGCATGGACAAATATACCAGTGTACAGCTTGAATGTAAAATATAACTATATACTTAATGGGTAGGGTTAAGATAATATTAAGATACGGGTAAGGTTCTAGTTCATGGGATGATTCATTTCTGCCTTGGGACATCAGGAGTTGCAGAACCCGTTGCATTATGGGGCTGTTGGAGGGGACGATTTGACGTCTCTTATATAGCTCAGTGTTTTTCGCTTGCTGAGAGTGAAAAGAAAACTTTTGTTGTCGTGTTGAGTTTTTGAAAATGATTTTTGTTTGATGCCTTAAATGTACATGTTAACTGACCGAAGGATGAAGCCATCCCTCCAAACAGCCTCATTATGCAACGCATTTCCCCAACTCAGAAAACGCTGATACAGCAGAAGTTTGTCAAATCCCTGGTTGGTAGTTACAATTTAAAAAAAAACATTCTAGAAGGTTGCCATATATGTAGCCATAAATGTATCCATAAATCACGCAAATAGAAGCATGTCTTATTGACAATGGTCCCTTTTACCTTGGGCGTAATGTTTTCCCATTTCAGACTAAATGATTTGGGAAATAAGTGGATCAGCTCTATTTATCATAAATTTTCRAAGTCCAATAATTTAATGCAGTGGGCGCACGCGCTTGCTCAGTAATTGCTCAGTAATAAAGTTTTTATTTTGGTCCAAATTAGGATAACTAATATAAATGTATTCATTAATAATAGCCGGGTAGTTTGTCCTTTTAATGGCAACTAAAATAGTAGAATACACCAAATTGAAAAAAACACAACAACGTCTGGTTGAAAAGGTTCATTAATCGAAGCTAATTTGGTGTATATAAGACAATAATGATAACAAATAATAATCAAGAAATRTAAAATTAGTGAGTCATAATAGCTGAATAAACCTCTAAAATATCTATTGCTGTGATCAACATTATCAAGCCTTGACAATAGGTTGCTATCAATAGACGTCACTTCCGGTAATAGCTCTTTTTGATGGCTTGTAGAATCCTGGAGGTTGTTTTGATCTCTTGTTTTCTGGTTTCATGTCGTAGAAATAGTCAAATACAATAGTTTGAGGACTTATTCTGATATGTCTTGACTTAACATCCGCTAGTTGCCCCCCAGTCARCCGCTTGTTTGCCCCCCAGTCAAYTCCAAAAAGTCACGTGATTGATAGTAAGCAATATGGACCTATTGGTCACGTGATTAATGRCCCCCATATTTGGATCAAAGGTTAATTCATAAATTGATGGAGATGAAAATATGTAAACTCACCGCATAAATAATGAAAATAACGATAACRAATATTATATAAGTATGCGAAATTATTCAATGCTTGAAATTTCCATCTGTTTTATTCTTGGAGTTCGTGTAAAAATATGTCAAAGAATTGGCAAAATTCCCAAGAGAATCGAACAAAGAAATGCCAGCCATGTTGGTGGCGCAAATAATCCAACAACCTAATAAAGCTATTACAGCTAAATCAAAAACTTGCAACGCGTTATCGAATCCGAAAATCGTCGTAGATATATGTTACACGGTATCAGCTTTTTTTTTTTTTTTTTTTGCGCAAAAGCGTATTTCGAAAAATCGTCGCTGCGTGAATCGTCCCGTGTAACATCACCTTACAGAAGTCTTTTGTCAAATACTCACAGGTAACATGTTTGTTATTACGTAAGGCTCACTCAAGCGTAGATCAAGAGTCCTTATTCGTACAACGTGTTCCGCTCAATTGTGAATTTGGTACAAAAAATGTTGAATTTAGCTTGAGAAATTGGCGGCAAATAACCTCAAGAATAGCTAGTTCCCTGGTCTGTAAGATGGGTTACCAATTTCCAGTAAGTATAGAACTCAAATACAGTTTTTATCAAATAACTATGTGATGCAGTGAATTGAATGTTAAAGTGCATATGTAAACAGTCAAAGTCTGCATCTTTTCCTTGTTTCCCACTTACATAGGAACCTAAAGCTGTAAAGGAAGGGAATTATTTCTATTTTTTTTTTTTAATGACAAATTTTATTCTAAACTAAAGAAAAGTAATAATTAAGTCATGCAACTGGTTTCGCTTTGCGCATGCGTTTTCGCAACAATAGGTTGCTATCAATAGACGTCACTTCCGGTAATAGCTCTTTTTTGATGGCTTGTAGAATCCTGGAGGTTGTTTTGATCTCTTGTTTTCTGGTTTCATGTCGTGAAAATAGTCAAATACAATAGTTTGAGGACCTATTTTGATATGTTTTGACTTAGCATCCGCTAGTTGCCCCCCAG